GTGTACACTTTCTCTTGGGTTGTGTCGTTCATTGGGATGTGACTTCTTCAATGAGGGCAGCGGGGTTGGGGTCTTCGAAGATACTGAACTGATTCTAACACGCCAGCTGTTCTGGCGGAGCTCCCTGGGGGGTTAGCACAGTGTTTTTAGTAGCTCTGGGTTTGCGTGGCTTTTTACCAGTAACAACCTTCCAGGGGTTGTCTGACTTTAGTGCCTTTCGTTCATTGGCACGGGCCGTTCCATACTTCTCGAGCCGAATGGGGCACCTTCTGGCATCTGCTGGGTGGTCCTTTTCCGTTATGTGAGTTTCCATGGAGCAGTTTGCGCAGTGGAGGTTGTGTGGGCATTGGCCTCTGTCTATGCTCATACCGTCACTTTCTTCGAGCGCTTTGCACTTGCGGCAATCTGGTTCCGCAGGGTGGTCTTCTTCCTTGTGGTTGTCCGCGCAAAGCCTGCACCTAGTCGGATTTGGGCAATTTTCCGCCTTGTGGTCCCATCCCCAGCAGTTCTTACACTGTTTGACAGGGGCTCTATCTTGGTATGCCCTTAGTGGGCAGTGTCGTGCGAAGGCCGCCAGTGTCTTTCCTTGCAGAATTCCCCTGGCCACCTCTTCATCGTCCACCGCGAAAACGAGTGACGACCTAAGTGTGTTGTCCAGCTCTTCCTGCGTTCGCATCCATCGTGGGGGGGCAACGATGTTGTCTATCGCCTGTGCGTAGATGACGTTGCAAGCCAAGAGTTCTTCGTGTACTGTTTCAGCGGAGATGACGGATCTGGGCCCGAAGCGTGTCATGGTGTGTGTGCTGACCCCATCAATTTGGATCTTGAACCACCGCTTGTCCTCTCTGGCGCTCGTTTCGTATCCCTGGTTAATTAGTGGAATGAATAATTCTGCATACTGTAGAAGGTCTGCTGCAAGTTGGTCTGCGCGTGTTGAGACGATAAGGTTACCCTGGTTGTTGTATGACGCCGTTACCGCCCTGATGTGTTTGGCTTTGAGAGACTGTGAGTTTGCGAGGGCGTTGTTTATCGTGCTGACGATTAGGGCTGGTTCCATGCGGTCTTCATCCCGTATTCCGTCTGGGAGGAAGCGTATGACGGCGCGGCTTGGGTGGTGGGCTGCTGCCGGATTTGTGTTTGGCTTCTCTTGTCCTGGATTGTTGACTGTCTTTCCTTTTGGTTTGTGAAGGGGGCCGGTCGCGTAACTTGTGGTGAAGCTTGTGTTCTTGGCCGTTCCCGTGTTCTGTGGGCTTGTGTTTCCTACTATCTCATCGAGGGTTTTGAATCGGGTTTGGGTGGCGTTATTTTCTGTTTCGAGCACCTTGAGCTGCTCAGCCATTGCCGAGAAGTTGAACGTTGTCTCTTCCCTCATACGCTCGACTTTGTCTCCAATGGCTTCGGTTTTCTCCATGTGTGAGGCCATGGTCCTGATGACCTCGTGCATTGCCTGTGTGAGTGTCGCCTGTTGTTCCATGATGATTTTGTAGGGCTGTTCTAAGACGGCATTAGACAAACCTGTCAGGCATCCTGTGATTTTTGGGTCAGCCTTTACAATGCCCAGCATTCCATCGCTTTCCAGGGATTGCACAAGGCTGCCGGCTTCTACGAGGGAGCTGTATAGGTTTTTGAACCTTTTGTCGCCGTCTTCGAGGCGGTCCGCGAGGATGCTGAAGCGTCGGTTTGCATGGAGTTTTGGTCAATTTCTCCCTGTTCCCCTTCGTCGCCTGTCGACTCTATGTCTTCGTCCCACAGTGGGCGATGGCTCGGGTCGAACTGATTGCCTATGCTTCGTGCTTCGTTGTTGTATGATTGTGGGGTTGGGGTGGTGAGTCGCGCGTTCTGCGTCCAGTGCCCTCTTTTTGTTGCCTACGAGTACGCTCTTGATTTTTGCCGGGGATGTGCTGGTGACCGACTGGGCTACCCTCCCTACTTTAGCCACCGCGCTCTCCAGGAAGGAGGGGGGTGTATTTGCAGGGGTCTGTGGGCGGGGTTGGCGTGTCGACCGTTGGGAGCGTGTTGCGCCTCCCTCCGTGCGCGGGGACTTCGTGGTTTGTGCTGGGATGGGTTGCGAGTATCTTTGTGCCGTGTGCGGGCCAGGGGACTTGGGTTTATGGTACCTTTCATTGCTACTGACTATGTTTCCCTCCATACTTCTTCAATTCTTGCACGGTTTGGCCGTGGGAAACAAGGTGTATGTGGAAGTAATAGATCAAGGAGCGTGTGGACGTGATTCAATTTATGAGTGACCTTTGTGTACTAGCTCAGTGTCGTCTCTCCAATCAACAAACTTAAAGAAGCACGACTACGTAAGCTGGAACGCCTCCCTTTCGCCGAATTGCGATGATAGCTTGACGAAGTCCGTTCTGGTCCCTCTCGCTGTAGAGTCCTTCGGAAGCAAGGTCAAATTTCGTGAACAGGCATAGGCGGAAGGTGGCAGGTACGTTTAAACCTTATAACTCTTACTGAGCTTAAGTTTAGAGTGATCTTGTTTGCGGTAGCGCGCATCTGGCGCAAGCTCCTCTTCGCCGGTCATCCTTTCTCAATTCTCGGCAATTCTATCCATCTTACGCTACCGCGTTGGAAAGACGACGGACGCCCGGGGGCCCGGGGGCCCGCTATCTCTGGATCCCGAATTTATACAAGTCGCGTCAGCTGGCATCTGATTCCAGAGTCTCCTCGCTTCTCCGCATTCTTCTGACATCATCATTCCTTCAAGGTTTCGTCCGTATGCCACATCGTCTCTTTCAAGCTCTTTTCCATTGGTTCGTAGACCGCTTCGGAGTTGCAGGATTACTTACTTTTTGTCTGCTTTCACGGATTACATTGCCTTGGTTTGGAGACTAAGGTCGGCCTCAAGTAAGTTTATGTACGTCGGTTTCTACGGTTATGAAAACTTCTGATTCTGGGTTCCATTGCATCTCTCTGGGTAAACCATCTAGCGGTCCAATAGTTCTCTCGCGCTCTTCTGCCTCTCCAACCTTATCGATTCTCTGTCCAATCATCTGCAGGAGACTATCGTGTCTCCATCTGGTTTTACTCTAACACCACTGGTTACGAATTCAACATTTCCCCGCGCACTTCATGCAAAGAGCTTCTTGCCTTCGGCTACTCGTCTTCTACGGCTCCCTTTTTCCACGAGAAGCGGTATCTGCCCACGCATCATAATGTCTATAGCATGTAAAATGACGAGACAAGTTGCAATTTGGTTGTGTGGTAACCTGGTGAGCCTTTCTTCACATTCGTCTTCGTACTAGCGCTTTCATACTGCCCGCTTTGGTATTACTCTAACTTCGTTTCAGGCTGCAGGCTGTTCTCACCCCCCACCTTCGCTGTATTCTACACGTTTCCATTATGATGTTGCCATTTTCCCCCGCGCGGCCGCACCTGGCGGAATTTTCCGTTCTCGCCTCTACCAACTTCCCTATCTTCTCAACTAGAAGAAGGCTGTGCTCGTGATGCTCTGAATCACCTCAAATTCATCCTTATTTCAGGTGTAAGGACCCTTTCGAAGCGACGTATACTGGCGATTTCTCGGACTATCCGATGTCGTCTTGAGGGAGCTTGGGGAAAACGTCTGGAAGATTCGACTAATCACAGCAGGGACAAGCTCGGATTGAGCTTCTTTACGCCTTTCTCTCTGCTTGAAAAGATAACCGATGAAGTCGCAGTATTTTGCGGGGATCAGGGGTGGCTTGCGCCTCAATTAATGCAAGGGGATGACGACACAACGAACCCTGTAGCTTGTTCTTTACCCTTTCAAGTGCGTACTAGGTTCTGTAGAGTCAGGATAGTATGCTGCCTTCTTTAGTATTCTGACAGTCTGCCTGTTTAGTTTCAGTGTTTTCCCGTCATTTTGTCAAGTCGCTTGGTTTAAGCATCTACCTTCGCCTCCGTACTATCCATCTTCCTCCTTATGAAGGTCAAAATTCTTTGCGAACTGGTCGTATCAACGCAATGTCCCTGGAGAGGCGTCGACAACGAAGCGAAAAGCTGTGCAAAGGGCCAGATGAAAGATTTCGCTCGCAAACGCCAGGTAAGACAGGATTTAGTAAACCGTTTCTCACGAGAGAAACGGAAGGTGGTGATCTCAATGATGTAGAAAACGACCCATTCAGTCAGTGACGGTCAGTCGATAAAAATAGATGTTGTGAAGTGAGCTAGATAAGTACCTATATCCTCAAACACTGCATACTTATCTGAGGACTTCGCAGTGAACCTACTTTCCGTCCTGGAACGGTAACACCCAGGCGGATACCGAGATCTCACCATCGAATGGCGGCCGATTAAACGATCGACTGAAGAAATCACTTCACGACTATAGCAGATAGAAGTAGGTGGACAGAATGAGTGTCAAGTAAAATTCCGCCAAATAGTTTAGCTACCTTTCCCGTTAGCACAATACACGTCGGAACTGGGAGCTGAATGTTATTGCAGTAGAGCGTAATGAGGATTACGTACACTCGTGGGAAATTGGCTTCAAACGGCTTCTGTGGGAAAGCGAAACCAAATAAACGAGTCCCGAAAGACCAGGCCAGTCACTATGCACCTATGCACTCCCACCGCTCACAGAATCACAAGTCATAAATTTGCTTGTAGGAACTTTGGAAGATGCTTGCCTGACCGACTAATATATTCGACACAGCCTAAACCTCATCTTCCTGATGCCATCTGATGGCGTTCCGCCTTGATTCCGCCGTTACGTCGTCTTCAGAGGGAAGAAGAAAAAAATGTCAGGGCTTCAAAAAAAGGAACAGGGATCGCCCATCCACGTACGGGCCCACTGACCTCCGAATCGACTTTCGACATTGGGCGTCAGAACCACCCTCGAAGGTGACGTGCGGGCAGTGACAGATCCAGCTGATATCTCGGCGATATCCCTAGGTCAGCCCTATTCTTGATTCACAAGAACCAGGTTTATCAATTGGCTTCTATGTTGGCTTGAAACCCCCGTCACCCCCCAGCACAAGTCGCCCTCGCTACCTTACGGCAAGAAGATATCAATGCTTTTCAGCCTCCTCTTGGTTGTTTTTGCAGGCACTTCTCCTGTTATTGCGCTCATCGGAAGGACGCTCCAACGTCGAGGTCCCCAGACATCAGCCGTTTGCACCGTCGACTTTCTGTGGGCGGATAATTCTCAGGGGGTATCGCCGTGCTTATTGGCGGCCGTGGTTCTTGGAGCCTGCCAGGGTGGAAGTACGTCGCAGATTCTTCCTCCGTCAGAGTTTTGACTGAGCTGAAATACCAATCAGGCTGGTACATTCCTGCATTAAATTCGACGAATACGTACACCAATCCGAACTCAACGATCGCCAACGTCTGCACATGGTGCAATTTTGCAACTTTTCGCACCCACTCACAGCTAATGCCAACACCGACCCCCCTAGTTCATGGCTGGCGTACAATCTTTTGGCTGCTTGCGCGGACTGTCAGGGTTTTATGCAAGCCGTTCCAAAGTGCGTCTGCGATAGTAGTTACTCCTCATTGAGACTCACATCGTTGATAGCGTTGCTCCATATTTCCAATCCTGCCAAAATTTTGAAACAACAACAAATAGGTATCATTTCCAGTACCCCCATTTTATCTCGTTGTTAAAGTTCTGGGATTTCAGTTACTTCCCCAGTAGTTATCCGCTTCCCGACGGTACCTTCATTCCCTACTGGGCCACTACAGATCGTCAGTTTTGAACAATCACCCTCTCTGTCGTTGACTTACACAGGCATTGCAGCAACAACCTGGCCATCCCAACACTTTGACGTAACAACAGCGAAGAACATTTCGCAACAAGGTAATTCTATGCAAGCTCTGAGTTTTACGAGAGAAAGCCCAGATTTTATTATCTAGGACACCGTGACATAAGCAGCACTGCTGCCTCCGCTTCGAAGAAGAAGAGAACTCCAATTGGCCTTATCGTTGGCATGATCGTTGGCGGGCTCGCCCTCGTTGCTTTGGCAGGTGGGACCACTTTCTTGATCTGTAGGCGACGGCGCACTACTCGCCCGCCATACTCACCATCCGTAACTATGGAGCATCTGACACACATTCGGTCACCATCTGATATAACCATGACCTCGATTGGCTCTCTTGGGTACGCAACCTTGGTCTCAACATCCACCTCCCCTCAAGATCGCAGGATAACCACCTACAGTCACGATACTAGCCCACAGTCCCCGTCATACCTTAACTCACCAATCGCTACAATCCCCCACACCACACTTCCCACCGCAACACGTTCAAACCTGGAAGGTGTCATTGACCCATTCATCAGTCCGCTTGGCCCCATAAATATCCCGCCTGGTGACAGGAAAAGTGCAACTGGGCCCACGCCAGTGAACGATGCTTCAACCACCACTCCCATTAGAATTCAAAGTTGGGCAGAGCCGCGAAGATCCCGCCTCAATCCACCTCCTTACAGTGCTACGGACGACTCCCCATCCCCGTCAGCCCGAACACAACGACGGCATACACACCAAACGGATACCTACTGGACACACACATCTGGTCCACAGAGTGGTAGCGGTCAGGCTGGCGCATCTCCTTTTGGTGACCTCTTGGCCCGAGTCCCTGAAAATTCACCTCCAGCCCGCGAGCGGGTTGGGGGTGAGCTTAACATAGATTCCAAGCGTGAGAAGAGAAAGGGCACCAAGAGTGTGGATCCGAGAGATATTGCCTGACCGTCTCTGGTTTCTCTTTCTGCGTCGCCTGGACACTATTATATGACCCATACAAACAGTTGTGACCTACTTATCGATGTACTAATGTAAAAAATAAACATGTATGTATTCCCATTTGTTGTATCACTAGATGATTGTGCAACCATTATCTTTCCCGGCCCAAAGAGTTTGGCGCGTAGCCGATGAATACGACGAGTTCATATGGTACACTCAATATTGAATACATATACTTAAATATCCGACAAGTGACATAAGGCCGCGTGATGATGCCAAGGCCTGTGTTTCGTCACTCGGGAAGCGGCGCCGGAGGGGGGCGATGTGCGAGATACTCACCTTCAGGTTAGCGGTATCGTGCGAGTAAATAAATCAAAGACGTTCCGCCCCTCCGGAGTGGGGCTGGGTTACTACAAAACAGCGTCTGCGATAGTTTTTGTGGCGGCACGTGTGCAGAAAAGACGGTCACCTTCCGCGAGGCTATCAAGACGGTCTTTCATCTGGATACCTTAAAACACGCCGAAAAATATGACCCCAGAACGTCGGTACTGCAAATTCTGCCCCGGAATTTATCTTGAGGGATGAGACAGTGCATGGGTATGACCGAGTCACTTCCTCCCAACATTGCAGCAACATTCACGTAATCACTGGAATTTGGATCGCGAAAAGAAAGGGTGTCTGCAAACAAATCCGACCTATGTATATCATCAGCTTACCCGTGTGTTTTGGGGCTCATCCAGTAGGATCTCTTGCGTTCCGGGAAGTTGGGAAGCATGACGCCGGCGTGTTGATTGAATGGGTCAGGGAGAGGTATCCTTATCATCCAAGCGCGAAGAAGACGATCAGGTGGACGCCTGCAAAACTCTTTTTTAGCAGCTGTTCGCAACGTTGCCTGTTCACGAGGACTCATTTTGACGCTCATAAAGAATGTGAACGCGTGAACGTGGGCCTGGCCCCCTGACCCCACGTGTATGAGGACTGGCCGAAGCAGAAGGACTGAAACAAGGACGGGGGATAATGAGATGCTTGGGAACCGTGGGGAGGAAGCAAGGAGAGATGAAACGTGCCCCAAGAGGGAAACAAGAGAGGCGCCGTCCGAGTAGTCACCTGACAGAGAACTTGGGCGTATGATAGAGTCAAGGACCACAAAGGGAAAACCGCAATAAGATAGAGTGGCTTTCGAACAGAAGCAGAAGTCTGAAATGCAGGCAGCAAGAACATAACAAATACAGCACCTGGCCCAACAAATGAGATCACGAACGCAAGCAAACGAAAGACAGGGTCCAAAAAGAAGAATTCTCGACTTGTAACCGTGCAGAACACCAAGTAGCAGGTGGTTGTCGAACAGCATAAAAAAGAGGGAATGAAGACGACAGAAGGACAAAGAAAGGAAAATCTCATAAACTGAGTTGAAGCGGATTCTGGGAATGGCGAGGTTGAGAGGATAAGAGAAAAGAAAAACATACCATGGCGATCGGTAGCGGAGGGGTGTCGTCATCCGGGGACGGGACAGTGATATATTCGAGAGTTTACTGTGCGAATGGAAAGTCTTAGTGAACAATGAGAAGAATAACGAACGGGATTAATTTCCGACAGAGAGATCGGAGCGGGGAGAGTGGCCACTGCCAATCGCATAGAAGAGCTCAAGAAGGGGATGGAGAAGGCCAACCCCCGAGGTGCTGATGTGAGAGTGGAAAAGGCTGAACGAAACTCACCTAGCCTTCGAACAGGTACTGTTTGATGTCATCCGCGCAACTGGACGCCAACTCGAGGCTCAACCATGAGCAATCCACCAGGAGTCCCGTAAATCTGGCCGTATCGTTGTTGACTCAGGTCCGGAATCCAAGCGGGCTATTCAAAGTAGGTGAATGAACGGTGTACTATTGTGCAGCTTTGACCGCGATAGCGTCCTGATGATGGGTAAGGTAGGGGATGAGGAATTAATGAATCCGGAGAGCGCACTTCAACTTCGACCAAAAATAGTTTCGACGTTCCTAACGTATAAGTGTGGGGGAGGGGACGAGAGCTGGAAACAGAGGAGCCCCTTGAGCGAGAGGCGGAGCCGTCTACATGTAAGGCGTGGGCAAAGCTTCGTGGCTGCTCTCCCTATCAAAAACATTGGCATTCAGCAAAAGTTGCCCGACTTATGTTCCAGCGGGATATATCAACGAAGAGAATGGGTCGATAAGACGAAACAAACGCACCTTGAGCGTTTCAAAGCTTATCGGGCGCGTCCTCTCACAAACCTCCTCCTCAAAGACCATTCAATTAGTGGGACTGAAAAGTTCAGTCTCCAGAAATCACTCTAATGGTCACTTTCCCGTGGAGTCGTGTTCAACTGTGAGAGATCCAAGTGAGCGTGATAGCTGGCCAGGTTTGCAAAACCCGAATTCCGAAAGAAGTACGAGACCGTTGTCCTAGAAAAGCAAGGGGCTCATGATGAGAAGAGATGAGCGTTAGCGGCGGCAACGTGACGGGGCGTGAGACAGTGTTTGACAACGTTGACGACGTCGACAAACACGGCACGCGATTAGCAATCTTAAAAAATCGTGACTCCATCGCTGGAACACCTAAAGACTAGTAGTCGTCGAGTTCAGAATAATTTCCTGATATTTAGTCAATTCAAATGGCTCTGCCAAAGATTGGGATTGAAATTTGAACAGTCTGTGCAAGCTAGATGTTTTAAGTACCATTTTTTTACATAGATTGAGTGCTTGTTGAATATTGAAAGATCGATTATGTGCGGTTAGAACACCACACGCAATCGGCGGACTGGGACTACAGCCCATGGAAGATCAAGGATAATGCTGATCCAGGCCTCGCAAAATAAACCTCAGGGCTCTTGAGCTTTTTTGTCTCCGCAATCCGCGACTGACGCTAGAGTAGCTAGGCTCAAACTCAACAAAAATTATGATTAAATATCGATCGAGGGTTCGCCGAAAACATTTCTCCGCTCACGATTTCACAGCTCTCTTTTTATAGGCGATAACTCAACGATAACTTACTTGAGCTTGACTTGAGCTGAGTTGCGACCTCATGTGGACCCGCTGCCATCAAACTGCATGGAAATCACAGGGACAGACCATCTATCGGAGTTGGATAAATGGTCAGCCTGTTTCCCGGAAGAAGTACAACAGTTCAGGTTAATCAAACTTATTTTGAGAGGTTAGTACACATATTTGGCATCCCTAGTACGACATTCACCAAATTCTAGCAATTGTAACTTGAGGCCCAACTTGAAGTGTGCAGGACTCGCAGTGTCGGGGTTGATATTGGGAATTTTTTGCCTCGAGTTTTTTTATTACATTCAGCTCAGATGCGCCACGCTGCGCCCCGGTGGAGTTTGCCATCCAGCCTCAGGCACCACCTGGGAAATTTTCCTGCGTTCGCGCCGGGTTTAGACGCCTCGTTCGAAGCCTTTTTCTCAAATATCCCCGCACTGCATTGCCCTTGGTGAAATTGGTTCCGCTTATTAAGGCTCAATTCCCACTGCGACACAAACGGCACCTGGAGGGTCGCAACATATACATATCATCTGAAACTCTTTTGAGCTGTCGCCGCTCCACCCCATTCTTCTCCCACAAAACCGACTAAAGCGTTGTGCAAGCATACGACGGTATTGCTTGCGACCATGTACACGCCCACCATTCTGGCGCTTCGAGGTGAACTAATTTATGTTGCTTCGGTATCTCCAATTTACATCCCAATACTTATACCAGTCACGAACTTCGTTCTCACCTTGATCGGTGTCCTTGCAACCTGCTTTCGGCTATGGCGCCGAAAGACCACAACTCATATTTGGTGGGATGATATATGGGCCGCGCTGACGATGATCCTCGGGATTATTTTCATGACGTCTTTTGAGCTCTTCCTTCAAAATCAAAGTAAACGTTTTTACTTCCTCCCTGACCATCATACATACTAATTTGATTTGCTCCTTCAGCGTCTCACACTCTTGCAACTAAAATAACTATTTATTACCTGTCAGGCCTTTTCCCTGGCATCAAGGACTTCCTACTAACTTGCATTCAATCAGTGTTGCCCAGTCTTATATTGCTGTCAATTCGTAAGATCCACACTGCTACTCCATTCCATGTGTCGTAACTGCATCTATCTAGGGCTGCCAGAATTTCAATCCTTTTTATCGTGATCCGCATCTCCAATGGAAGAATGCGGTATATTCTCAAATGGATCGCCGCTATTTTCGTTCTGACATGGGTTATTCTTACTGCTCAACTGCTCTGGACGTGCGAGGGGAAAAACGCGGATTGGGGCCCAGGCCATCTGATATGTGTAATGCCCTTGAGAGTTGCGATCGTACAATTGACCAGTGAGTTTCAACATCATGGCTTTATGATGATTTGTCTCATTCTTTTACAGCCGATACGTTGAGCGACGTCATCTTAATTGTAGCGCCCCTCCGTCTTGTCTGGAATACAAAGTTATCAAGCCCACAAAAGATCCGCATTATAACGATTTTCTCCAGCACGATAGCTATGACCATTTTCAGTCTCAATCATGCTTGTTGGCTGATAGTAGACGGTGGCGGGTTATCTGAGGCCCTGGCGGCAGTCATCCAGGTGTGTATAGGGTTGCCTCTTCGCGTCCTTTTTGCTGACCTTCAACTCGACTAAGAATTCCGTTAGTCTGATTGTTTGCAATTTCAGCGTCATAATCGCCTTCATCTTCCAAGTCGCGGCGGAAGATGTAAGGAGCTCTTACCATATAGAAGTTGGGAGCCTCTCTCTCCGGTGCAAGGTGCCTAGCGGTGTGCCTTCAGGGACAGGTGTGCGTATTGAGCGGACCGAAGTGATAACTTTGGACAGCCTTGGTTCATTGCATGGGAATACGACTAAAATCGGTCAACCTTTTGACACGGATAGCAAGGATTTTTTGACGGAGAAGGACTGCACATGAAGGACCGCACTTTAAACATCTGGAAAAATGCTCCTTCAATTCTTTAGGTAGTAAGGTACTGCTTCACGTAGAAATGACGCTCGAAGATCGTAATCACGGAGCTGTAGATGCGACGATGGTACTCTCGAGTTTATATCTTGATGTTTGAAAAAATATTGAGATCGGGCCCCGAAGCAGGTCCTGTGGGTGCAGGGAAGCGGTGTCGAAGCTATGTCCAATCGAAGATCTATATAGCGTAAGAAAGCAGCTCGAAAGAGCTCCTTTTCTTCCTCTCATGTTGAACCTTAATAAAACCGAATCGACGCTACTGAAACAAGGAGGGCCACTTCTGCAAGCTTCTGCAAGGGAACCCGTCAGAAGCGTACAGGCACATTTAGGCGATGAAATTTACTCATAGATAAAATCATAAATTTCTAGTCAAGCCCACAGTCAATCTGGTGATTTTTGAGCAATCCTCGCAATCCACTCTATACCGTCGACTCGGAGAAAGGAGCGTTATGGCTTACTGTTGGTTCTCGTCAAGGGTTTCAGGTATGCCATTCCTGGGGAGTTGTCGCCGTTAGAGGATCCTATGGGGCCTGAGGAGGAGGAGGGGAGACGGTTGTTATGGAGGTTCCGCTGAGGGGATTGATTGGTATATTCCAGTATAAGAATAAGCAGGGGTGAGTCGTTTCTGGTTGCGTCTTTTGGCCGTTTGACGCTGATTTCTTTTTTTCTTTTTTCTTTTTTTTTGGATAGGATGGTCAACCATATACGCCGTCCCAAGCTTGAGGCGTGCTCGTCATTGATTGCCAAACGCGAGGTACGTTTCTCGTTCTATGTGATATCTTGAGCTGCCAAAACTTCGGCAGGCTTTAAACGGAGTTTTTGTGTATGGAGCGATTCAGTGCTACGATTAGGTGGGCGCGTTGCTGGGGTGAAATACGACATTATTGCAAAATAATAAGACACGCCTATAGAGAGGACAACGACTCCTATGATAAGGATTTTAACCACGTCATTATTCAAGTTGGCGGGCGTAACTGCCGATCAACAGACTATGATGCTTACCTGCCGTATTATATTATATTGCATTGGTTTCCCTTCTCTCTCTTTTTTTTTTTTTTTTGCTTCTTCGTTTGGTTTGATAATAGCCACTGTGGACACCTACAAGGCACTATATCATGTCTCCTCTAACCCGGCTCGAACCTCACTCGACGCAATCTTGGCCTCGCCCAGCATACCGTTCAACTCGTGGAACCCTGATCCGTCCTCGATCCAGTGAGTTTACATGCAAGACACATTGCCTTCACGCGCGTCGCAACAGCTCTTAAAGGCGCCCGAATATCTCTCCCCAACTACTTCGCACCACGGCACTGAGCCGTCACCCTTCGTGAGGTTAGCATCCATGACTTGACGGCAGCAAACCATGGAGGACATCATGGTCTCTAAATTTTCACGCCCAAAGCACCTGCACTGTGCGGCGGAGGACTGGTGGACGAGAACAGCGAGAGTTACGAAGGTAGAGATGCCGAAGGTCTTCATGATACTCTGAACAGAACATGGAGAGGACAATCAGTAATAGATTCGACTATGGAGGAAGGAGTGGTTAATGAACCTCACTACTAGGATTGTTGGAAAGACTACACTTGACTGGAGTCTTAGTCTAACGAATACTGACTCTGCACATACTGCTTTTATATGCTGATGGGTACCAAATAAGTTAGCGGTTTCTTGCATGTTTTGGCCGTAATTTGATCCGCGTGACGAGAAATCGGGAGCCGGGGCGGTATACGTGGCCAGGCTCGTAGCGTGAACCGAGGAAGCCTTATCACTGCTCGCTATTTTCTTGTTCGAGAAGCGGTTGGATATCCAGAGAAGGGTTAATTGGTTAATATTTATGTAACACGGACTGTCAGGGAGCGGCTCGGGGCCGTTGATCGGCTTATGGGGTAGCAGGGTTGTGAACACTTACTTATAAATCGAATTCATGGTACATACATACCAGAGAGGGTAACCTCAACGTTGGTCACAGGCTTTTAGTAGGTGTGGCACGACATCCAATCCTTCGAACTGATATTCCATTCCGTTGCGTTGCCTCCGCCGAGTAGGCGGGATTGACTGCAAAGATCTTTTCCACAGGCAGAAGCGAGATAGGTAAGTTCAAGAAATTGCTCGAGAACACACGTACCGTAATGATGATATTTCCACCGCCAATCAGAGAGAATAAATCAAAAATCAACCCAAGTCCCAGATACACACGCGCATGCCTTAATTCGTCCGTAGGCTTGTACCTCCCAATTTCTTCTTGAGCCGAGTAAAAGAGCTACAAGACGGTCAGGTGTCAACGGAAAGGTCCCGTCAATACTGTGAATTTTGTATAACCGTAATTAAATCGCGATTCGGTGCCGAGTTGCCACGCAACTTTGTTGGAGGCGACCAGAGTCAGCTGCCGAATCGTGAGCTCAGCCTCCGCATACTTCTTCATGAAATCACCCGAGTTGACATGTAATTCCTTGTGCTCCTTCTGCCGCATCGTTGGCAGGCTGCCAGCTGCAGAGGAATGTGGAGACGAGCAAGTCATCGCCATCCTAGCTACTTCGTTAATGAATACCAGCCTTGTAAATGAACAGCCACCTTGGAACGTTGTGCCAAATGCGATATTGGCCCAGAGAGGTGGACGACACGTCGCCAGACCCTAGCAACTTTTTCTCCAGGGCTTCTTTCTATACGCGCTGTCAAGTCCGTCATGGCTCACCCATTCGGAGGGATGACGGTCCGAAACAAGTCTGAATAGGTACTACTAAGACTTTAAGCGCCGTCTTTTGGATGAGAAGAAACAAGTACCAATTTGTTACCAATACCCAAGGGTATGACAAATAACCTCTCATAAACCCGGCCAACTGGGAATGAAAGTAACCCAACGGGGGTTCCAAGGGGACCGTGACGAGCGAGTCTATAAAGGCTGGCAGGGTAGGAAACCGTATTTTTGGAGAGAAATTGCCAAGTGCGAGTGTGCGAGTTTGGTCGTTCACGTCGACCGAGAAAAAGGGCGCCGGTTTTCCGGTTTTCCAGAGGCGCTTAAGGAGATAGAGTGTGGATAACAGCTCGGGGGCCAAGGGTCATACATATCCCATTCGATCCACGACCAATGGGGAATTTTATCCCTCCGAAATGGGAGCTCCTTCCTGATCTCTTGCACAGCGTTTTGTACCTGTATATCTTCCACAATAGGTTGAAGTTCTCCAAGCCCTGTATGGGCAGAGTGAACGAAAGAGAGTGCATTTCCCGCCCATACTAGCGAGGTGATACCTCGAGCTGCCAAAACTTCGGCAGGCTTTAAGCGGATCCTTTGTGTATGGAGCGATTCAGTGCTGCGATTAGGTGGCAAGCGCGTTGCTGGGATGGAATACGACATTACTGGCAAGGTCAGAGTAGTAAGACACACCTATAAGAATGATGTCACATGAAACTCTGGGGACAACGACTCCTATTGCGCTTACGGGCTGGTTGGAGGGCTTTAACCATTCGTCATTATTGGTGTACAGACTACGATGCTTCTAGTTCGTATTTAACCGCAGAGGACGAAGGGGGCATTGAAAACGCAGATAACTCATATTTTGGAAAGTTGACAAGTGCCTTGCGAATGTCCAGTAGTCGACGGAGACCTTCCCTTCGTACCAGATAAACAATTCGAGGCGGCAGAGGCGGCGGGAAAGATGGCGGATCGTCGAATTCAAAATTCTCGTTGTCGTCAACACGAGGAGGGGGCGAGCTCATGTCGTCGTTACCATCATCGTTGTAGCCCATACTCGTATGGGCAGATGGCGACCCTGAGCGCAACCTCGACCTTTGTGAAGCCGCTATCGATGTGAGGTGTAGCGAGCTCCATGGACAAGGAGAGATCCTTCTAAATAAGACCGTGGCGCGAAAATGGGGCTACGGGTGACGGGATGCTTGATGTAACTCCAACTTCCTGCCAACATCCTGCCACGCTAAGTAGGCCCCCCAAAATCATGAATACCTACTCACATTCACGCGACTCCTGGAGCCGTTAGCAGCTTTAACCTCCCTTCGCCACTCAGAATCGCCAGATCAGAAGTACTAGTTTCCGAAAAGCGATTACATCAGTGGCAAAGAAAATAAACAGGAGCAAAGCTTTCCTGGTCAGCAACGCCCATCGGCGATTTCTCTTTGCAACTGTGTTCAATTGGATGACTGCAGGAGTAGAAATGTAGGCGGGTACTATGCAGGTAAGATTTTCTCTGTAATATAACACGTTTACCGAACCATTTCTAGTTGTCCGTTTCTCTCATATCGAATTGGCTTTTCCATTCGTTCCTCTGTTCAACTGCGCTCAAATGCGCCGGCGGCTACTCTCCGCCCTCTACACCCCCGATTTCGTGCAACTGTCTTGCAATCCGACTGCACACGCCCGGGATACGGACTTTGGGAGCGCGTTCGGATGACAAGCCGTTGACACCTTGACGTGGTAAAGGTTGAGTAAAAGCTGCAAAGGTTGAAAGGAACGATATGTGGGAGGTGGTGCTTAAGCTTAAGGTCCGTTCTTCCATTGTTCGTGATTCTCTTGCCACCTCACAGTCGAACAGCACTGCTCATGTCAAGTCTCACCAATCGGTAGTCTCGTTATTTTACTCCGTGTCGAAATCGACTTGACTTTCTTCAGACCTTTCGCTCCATCCAACCCCCAGATGCCGATAGGAACTGCATGGCGTGATTCATCGCTTATCTCCGGCGCGTACGGGACCTCTAATACACACAAGAATCTTGGAGGCGGAGGCAGACATTTGGTGGCGTACACCTCAACTCTGACTCAGGTCCAACTTGAACCCAGATGGTTCGTGGAGGCGGAAGGCTGAAGGGACGATTTGGATGTTCGAGACCGCGACGGGGATGCGGAACTCCTCTACTATCAACGCGTGAGTATTGGTGTTCCTTTGCGTCCTTCTTTTGACGTTGCCTCTCGTTACTTACCGACGATCGACTAAACCCGTTCAGTCACTCGTTCCCGTCCATCTGCGTTATCCGCCGTATGAACACGACGATGACGTCCGCCATCCAAGGTGTGACCGCACCCACATCCGCATCTTCACATAGCGATCATACCGACCGACCTTGCGGCATATCGAACCGCACACTAGTCTTTGAGGGGATAACGATTCGCCCACCCACTTGAGAATACAGCTAATCGCTCACCACCTGAGGATAGAACAAGTCTCCCCGCGATGGCTGAACGCGTCAACCATCTCGCCGTACACGTTGAGGAGAAAATTATAGACCCAACCACCGTATCTCAATCTCCAATCGTGGCAATCGGGTAAACGACAGAAACGCTCGAAATGGAGAGAGGCGAATCCAGTTCCTGAATGTTAGCTGCAGAAAAGAAGGTACGCGCCGGTTTGATTGTGCGCTCAAGACTGTCTTGATTTTCGTCTGTTGGATTTTTGACAACCTGAAGCTGGAACCTCCACGGGTTGGGTACGTCATTTTCTTAAATTTCTTTCGTCTTTTTGATGTTTCTCTTTTAGAGAGAGGGAAGTAGGACTTTCTATCAAGCCTTCGGATAGGATAGCGGCGTTGGATGCAGAATGTATGCGGTATGGTGCCTCCGTGACCTTGACTTTTTTTGATTGACCTTGCGAATAGGTTCGCAGCGTTTAGGATAGCTGTACGCCGTATGGTGCCCCCGTGTCCTTCAGTATGGTACCTCCTGTTGCTCACTCATGCATGTTCATTGGCGCTCAAGCGTGTACATTTCAGAAATTGCGATAGGTGGCAGACTGAGAAATTATCAAGGGGGAGGATGGTACGTGGTTCCCTTGGTGTTCAAGATTCTTCCCGATAATTTGCCCTAGTAGAATAGGCCAATGGAACTTTCAGCGATGTCGGGACGCACGCGGTACGCTCTCTCTCGACTCCACGAACAAGCTAATTTTCCGCTAATGTACAGAGGCTAGAATGTTGTGGAGCGAGTCCTCCATTCGTAAATGACTGCAACCAACGAACGCGGGGGTGAGTTTGGGACGAGATAGATGCATTACAGAGGGGCGGATGTTTCTTCACTCACCTCTGCATAGTTTGTTCTGACTCTTGCCTCGGGTGAGTTCGTTAATTATTTAATCACTGATTCTTATGAACTCAAGGCCGCTCACCAAAGGATTCCAAATTGCAACCAGCTTCATTTCTCGGGACGCTCTGCCAGTTCATACGGGGAAAGGAAACGGCGCTGAGCAGGTCTAGACCTCCGTCACGTTGATGAGGGAATCCACCGAACGGGCCTGTATCGTAGATCCAAATGAAATGCGGATATCCCACGGATTGACATGGATGAGAGTCCATTTCCATGCATGGGTGAACACGAGTCAGATAACGGGGCTGTGTTTCTTTCAGCGCGCCGCATCTGTGAGAACTCCATGTTGAGCGCTACCAACATTTCCACCACTTGCAACATAACCACATCATGTCGAACCAGTCACAGAACAAGAAAACTCGTTTCCTCTCGCCTTCCGCCATTCGGAACAGTTGGAAATCGTTCCGAAGTCGTTCATCGTCGTCGAATAATGCCGCCCAAACTCAAACGGGCCAGAGCGCGCATGTAACACCCTCTGGTACAACTTCTCCACCCATGTCCAGGTTGCCTTCCACCGAGGGACGCAGCGCCGATGTACAATCTTCCCCCAGCGCATCAGTAGCTGTTGTAGGCTCCTCTAAACAGGACCCATCGTCATCTCTTCCAGGTATATACCCATCTGTGCAAGTTGTTAGCGCTCTAACCCCCGCTTAGTCAAGGAATTTGCGAGAGATGTTTTGAGTGGGGGCTATGAAGTTGTCAAAATTCTTAAGGAGTGCTCAGGTCTCTGTCCTCCTCTGAAGACTGCTCTTAGCGGTTTCATCGAGTGTGTCGAATTGTACAAGGTGCGTCCTGTGTGATGTTGACGTATTTGTTCTGGCTTACGCTTTTGATAGAGGACATCTGGAAACCACGAAGAGATGGAACGGATTTTGAAAATCATTTCTGATTTGGGGTCGGAGCTCGCAGTCAAGCTAGCGGAACCTAGGGACCAGACGTCGTTGGATCGGATTATGAAGCAGCTGTTGAAGTACGCTTCTACTCTTCCGTCTCTTCTGAACTGCGAATCACTAACACAAGATCCAAGATCGCTAGAAGAAGAGGACAAAAAGATCATGGCCATGATTGAACGGGGATTTTTGGTAAGATTGGCTCGTAATAGCGATCATGCGGGGAAGCTCGTTTCCTCATGCAATGCAATTAAAGACGCTCTTCATTTATTCCTTGTAAGTCGATCGTGGTCTTTCTAAATCTCTTTCATTGACCACATCCAGGTTGGTCTAACTTTACTGATAGAGAGGAACACGCGCGATATTCTGAAGGTATTGTATCTTACTTATGACCAAGTTTGCCATTATTTAACAACATTTTTTCAGAACGTAGTTTTCCAGACCCTTCCCCGCTCCCACGATGCGGCTTTCACTGCTGCCATCAACCTCGATAATATTTCGCGAGGGCCGTGCACGAAAGATACTCGTGTTGATGTCATCAAGCAGATCATGGAGTGGGTAAAGGAGACTGACTCTACAAAGGCTCCATCTGTTTACTGGCTCACTGGACTGGCTGGCTTGGGCAAAACAACAATTGCCTACACTATCTGTGAGGAGCTAAAAGCAGCACATGTTGAATTTGTCTCTTTCTTCTGTTCACGCCAACTTGACAGCAAGAACTCAAAGCTCCTCATCACAACAATCTGTCGTGACCTTGCTGCACTGTTTTCTTCATTTGCATCTCAGCTTTTACCTGTTCTGGAGAAAGACTCTAACATTGCCCATGCAAGGCTGCCACTCCAGCTGGAGGAACTGTTTACAAATCCATGGAAGGCTTCTCTTTCCCACCGTCAATGCCTTCCATTGCCTGTAGTAGTAGTGGATGCTCTTGATGAAAGTGATCATGGAACTGAGTTTTTGAAGGTGCTACTTGATGCTGTGGACTCGGGTGAGCTCTCAGGGATCAAATTTCTTGTGACAAGTCGCCCAGAACCTACACTCTTTGACCTTTGCAAATCATTCCCTCCAAATGCAGTTTGTAAGCTCTATGAGATTGATGTTTCCAATGTCCAAAAAGACATTGAGAAATATTTGTCCTCTGCACTCCCAGATTTAAAGGATGAGCCTAATCTAGTAAAACTGGCAAGCCAGGCACAGGGATTCTTTATCTATGCTGCTACTGCTGTGAGATTCATATCATCACCTAGCCAACCTTTCTCAGTTCATGAGAAGCGGAAACAGTTACAAAATATTGTGAACTCATGGCCAGTATCAAGTAGGGGGTCTGAACGTAATGCAGTTAATGAGCTGTATCAAAAAATCTTAGGAGATGCTTTTTCTGATGAACGTATCTGTGATGAACGCTTGCCGATCCTCCACACAGTTCTGTGTGCAGAAAGCAGGATCACCATGTCTGTTATAGCTCATCTGAGTGATAATGATCAGGATACAGTTGAGAAAACTATAGAATCACTGCATCCTGTCCTGTTCATTTCTTCTAAAGATGAATGTGTCTACTGGTACCACACATCATTTCTTGATTTCATTTTCACTCAAGCAACAGCAAAGTTCAGCATCTTCCTCAAGCAAGGCTGTCCAAGTCAAGAGATCAATGTATTCTGTGACAAAGTTGCTCATCATGCAATCCTAGCTTGTCAGTGTTTCATCATCATGAGAAAACTGCTGCATTTCAATATGTGTAACCTCAAGTCATCATTTCAGTTTGATTCTGATGTGCTAGGACTTAATGGTGAAAAACTCAGAAATCTCTCACCTGTTCTACGATATGCATCCCGACATTGGGCTACACACCTCTCTCAGGCAGCAACTGCAGATGATGAAAGCAATGAACTATTGCAATTTCTTGATGACTTCATGTGCAACAAACTGCTTTTCTGGATTGAGGCCATGAATCTTATTGGTCATAAATTTGAGTGTCCATCATCATTGAAAGATGCTGAAGAATGGTTCAAAAAAGTAAGAAAAATTTGTAGTATCAAGTATCATAACACTGATGCATCTTAGGGAATAAAGCCACTGGGTCTCCTGGAGTACTTGTCAGATGCTGCAGGTTTTTCAGCTCATTTTGCAGGGAGTTATGCATCAGAGTCAACTCCACATTTATACATTTCAGCATTATCTACATGGTATCAAGATTCACCAGTCTGGACACATTGGAAACACCGCTTTACTGCACTTCCATCAATTACATTACTGAAAGATGCTATTACAGTCCCTTTGCTGACAATAACTACCAACAAACATATAACAAGTGCATCTGTATCTGGGAGGGGTGACCAGATTGTCACTCATTCTAAGCAAGATTCATCATTACTGATATGGGATATAAAGACAGGTCATTTGTTAAAGAAGCTGCAGGGTCATACTGATGTTGTTTGGTCTGTTGCATTCTCATCCAATGGCAACCAAATTGCTTCTTGTTCCAAAGACAAGTCTGTAAGATTGTGGGATGCAAAGACAGGCCACCAGATAATAAACTTGCAAGGTCATTCAAGTGATGTCCAATCAGTTGCATTCTCACCTGATTGCTCTGAAGTGGTATCTGGTTCTCATGACTTCTTGATAAAGGTGTGGGATACAAAGACAGGCAAACTGCTAAGAGAGTTTGAGAGTCCTGAAAATGTTGCTAATTCACTTGTATTCTCACCTGATAGCCACAAAATTGCATCTGGTGCTGCTGGTGGCTCAGTGTGGGTCTGGGATGCAAAGACAGGTGACCACCTAATAGAGATGCAAGGTCACAGTGGTTGGGTGTCCTCAGTTTCTTTCTCACCAGACAGCCATAAAGTTGTATCTGGTTCCTTTGACAGGTTAATACTTTTGTGGGATGCAGACACTGGCCACATTCTGAGCAAACTGCAGGGCCATTCTGCTTTTGTCTTGTCAGTTGCATTCTCACCTGATGGCAATCAAATTGTCTCTGGTTCTAGAGACCACTCAGTATGTGTGTGGGATGCAAAGATAGGCCACCTGCTGAGGAAGCTGCAAGGTCATACAAATTGTGTTGGGTCAGTGACATTTTTACCTGATGGCCAAAAAATCATCTCTAGTTCTCATGATGGCTCAATCAATGTATGGGATGCAAAAACAGGCCAGCTGAGGGAACAAGAAGGCCATGCAAATTCTGTTACTTCAGTTTCATTCTCACCTGATGGCCACCAAATTGTATCTGGTTCTCTGGATAACTCAGTACGGGTGTGGGAGACAAAGTCAGGCCACCAGCTTAAAGAGCTGCAAGGTCATGCTGATCATGTTTCATCAGTTATGTTCTCACCTGATGGCAATCAAATTGTTTCTGGTTCCTATGACCACTCAATAAAGATATGGGATGTGAAGACAGGCCACCAACTGAAAACATTGCAAGGTCACAGTGATTGGGTTCTATCAGTTGTATTCTCACCTGATGGCCATCTAATTGTATCTGGTTCTGGAGATAAATCAGTTTGTTTATGGGATACAAAGACAGGTTACCAGCTCAAGAAGCTAAAAGGTCACACTCACATGGTTGGTTCAGTTGCATTTTCACCTCAGGGTGACTATATTGTATCTGGTTCTTGGGACCAGTCAGTATGGGTGTGGGATGTCAAGATGGGCCATCATCTGATGAAGCTGCAAGGTCACACTGACCATGTTTACTCAGTCACATTCTCACCTGATGGCAGGCAGATTATGTCCTGTTCCCTAGACAATTCAATACGGTTGTGGGATATAAAGACAGGCCAGCAGCTAATGCAGCTGCACAATCCAGTCCCACTATCAGCTGCATTTTCACCTGACAGTCACCAAATTATCTCTGGTTCATGCCAATTAGTGCAAGTATGGGATGCAAAAACAGGTCAAAAGCTGAGGGTGTTGAAAGGTCACACTTCCACTGTGGATTCAGTTGCATTCTCACCTGATGGCAACCAAATTGTCTCTGGTTCATCTGACCACTCAGTACGGGTGTGGAATGCTAACAAAGATGATCAACTAACAAATTTGCAGAAGTATCACAACCCAATTGATTTGGCTGTACCTTTGAATGATGATAACCAGATTAAATTTGTTTCAGGAGATCAGTTCATTGGTATCAGTGCTAATTCACATGTTGATACTTTATGGGTTATAAATGAAGATGGCTGGATTTGCTTTGCTTCTAATCATCTTGTTTGGATCCCACCAACTATTTGCAAGGTTCTGCATCATCCGCATAGCATTCTTATTATTTCTCAACTTGGCTCTGCCAAAATCTCTTTCAAGGATAGTAAGCTGGGACTTTCATGGCATGAGTGTTATACTCCTTAGATACTTGCAACCAGTATGTAACAATATGAGTAATTATCATAGTTGAAGCAGAAGTATATATTATTGGAAAACTCATCATCTGCTTATTGATCAAGATGCTGTGAGCAAACTACTCACTGATTTTGTCTGTTTGCACACTTTCTCAATGAGACTATTGACTTATGTCTAAGTCTTCTGGAAGGGTAATTAATTTTTTTTAATTTTAATTTTTTTCGAGTCAAATTTAGAGTCTATTAGGGCGAGGCCCTATGTCAGACTTTACAACTTTTTGTAGACTACCTATGGCCCCTAATGCCATGTATTCCTGACCCCCTTGAGATTGCCCCATGCACTGGTGAGGGCACACCCACAGCGAACATTCCCCCACCCAGCCTGGCACAAAAACACCGTTTTGGGGCACATCCATATAGGTAAGCGGGGTAGTCTCGTCTTCTTGCTTATCTGTGCAATCCATCTTGGTAGTGTTTCGGCCTGTTAAGTACCCGATCGCAAAGCGACAGGCACAGTCGATGGGACGAGCATGATCAGGTGGAGACGTATGTCTCGGTGTTTGTGCGTAGCTGTCTTCCTGCGTTTCCGGTGTGAATCTTGTATCTGTTGAGAGAGGGAGTCTTCTGCTTGAGGTCCGCAGACTGAGAGGTGGGTGAGAGAGAGAGAGGGGGGTGTTTTGGGCGAGCCCGCTGGCTGGGGCCAGCTATTCTGTTGAAACCTGTGCTGTGGTAGCTAGATTCCTGAAAACATGTGTTATCCGTCAATCTTCTTCATTTTCTAAGTGAGATACATCACCTAGTGTGTCTCCAAGCGTTGTCTTGAGCCTGGCTGTCCTCCCCACGAATTTGAGCAGCTCCTTGACCCTGTCCAAACTCGCCAGGATTCCTCAGAGATCCCTTGAGTGACGACCCAGCACTCTATCCATATCATATCGCTCTGCCGCATATGTCTGACACTCAAATAAGAAATGCACCACCGTCTCTGTGATTTCCCGTCGCTCCCTACTCCAGCATGATGCGCAACACTCAGTGGTCGACTTATTGATCCGACGGAGATAGCTGTTGAGCGGTATGTGGCCGGTGTGTATCTGTGTTAGTAAACTTGCCTGGGGCCTGGAAAGCCTGTCGCTGATTTTCCGGAACTTGTTGAAGGGGAAGTCCTTGTCGACGTGTTGAAACCTGGCGTATTGTGGTGATTCCTTCCACGTGTTCTTCCATCTGACTTTTAGCTGCTCTGCAAACTCCTGCTTCACCGCCGACGCACTGTATGGCAAGCGCTTGCGAAGTATCAGGGGCAGTTCCTCCTGTGGGCTTGAGTCGCCCTGTGCTGCTTTCTTCGCCCCCTTTCATTCCCCTTCACCCCCATGTGAGCCGCCACCCACTTGAGCGCAAACTTGTCGGTACCTGCAGGACCTGGGATGTCAGCTCCATCACCCATAACCTCTGTAAGGCCCAGGTAACCCATTACCAGGTATTGGCCTGGGCCCGGTTTCCTCGTGTTCGTCGCCTTTATGAAGGCCTGGCTGTCTGTGTAGCTGGTGATTGCCGATCTTCCTACCTCTGGTTGATCTTGTAGCATCCATGCCACGAGGATCGAACCGACCGCTTTCCCTTCAAAGGTGGTATGCTTCTTCAGTGAACCTAGATGAAAACGTAAGATTCTTTCAGGCTCCTCGACCCCTTTCCTGTAGAGGACTGCCGCGGCCCCTACCCCTCCTTCGAACCCTGAACCGTCGGTGTAGATCTTGATGTTGGAGTTGTCCTTTGCCTCGTCTTTTATCGACTCCTCTTTTGAACTTGCGATCGTTGCTGTGAAGGCCCTCTTGTACATCGGAGGCCGTGGGTCTGGTTTGATTGTTTTGAAGCGCCGTGGCTTGATCTTGAAGCATTCTAGTAGCTTCTGTAGGGGGGAAAGGTGAGTTTTTGCCAGAGTCTTGCTATATCCGTGTATCATGGCCCTAAGGGGGTGGCTGTCAGGTAGGGTTGCGGTACGGACTATGGCCGAGTGACATATTCGCTCGAGCATGAGGTTCACCGGGAGGACCCCGGCATGTGCATCCAGCAGGTTGTTCGGTGAGGTCCACAGGCCTCCTGTGATCGCCTTCATCGCTATCCTCTGTATCTTACCCATTGCCTTCTGCGCCCTTACTGACCCGCTGTTGTTCCGTTTGCCCTCCTTCTTGTGCGGAGGCACAAACCAGACGTCCAATGCATACGACATCTTGGGGACTGCCACCGAGATGTACAGTAGTCGCATGAGCCTTGGTCGAATACCTATGTTGGCGCGGGTTAGTCGACGGAACATCATGATATATGACGTAGCCTTCGCCAAAGCCCCATTCTCCTGTACCCTCCATCGCAACTGGGCATCAATGTGCACACCCAGGTACTTGTAGCTCTCAACTTCGTCCACAACCCTCCCTTGCAGCCGGAGCACTGGGTTTGGACGATCTTCGGATTTCCTTGCTTGCGGCTGGCAGTGCATCACAGCCACTTTGCTGATTTCGAAGTTTGAATTGTGATCTTTGGCCCAGTTGAAGCCGCCTTCCCTTCTCTCCATAAAGCTCTTGAGCGCTCGTGTTGTTTCCTTGAACGTTCTTGCAGTAGCTACCACCAGGGTGTCGTCCACGTAACCGATGGCATCCTCGTTCAGCCGTCGTAAGGCCTCCAATAGGTCTGCGTTGTAGATGATGTAAAGTAGCATAGAGATCGGGTCGCCTTGTCCAATGCCGTTTGTGATTTCGATAAACTCTGAAATGAAATCGTCAAACTTCAGCTTAGTCTTACGTCCTTTCAGCAGCCGCTCGATAAACTTGACATAGACAGTTGGTATTCTTCGCTTCTTGAGGTTGTGTATGAGCCTGTCGGTGACTGCATTTGGGAAAGCCCCCTCTACATCCAGGAAGAGGACCGATGCGACCTTCTTTTTCCCCCAAGCTGACTTGATCTTTCCTACCAGGTAGTGAATGGCATCCGTCGTGGTTCGGCCTGGTCGTCCCCCAAAGTGCGTGTCTGGAAGCAGGGCATCCTTTTCTACCATGTGGGAGATGTTCTCTGCAACAATCACTGTTAGTACCTTGGGTATCGTGCAGAGCAAGGCTATCGGACGGTAAGCTTTTGGAATCTCATAGCACGGTTTACCTGGTTTCCGGAGTACCGCCATGGTGAACACCTGCCATCCCGGGCAGTAAGTGTTCAGCGCAAAAATGCCTCTGAAAAGATGGGTTAGGTAGTCGATCAGTTGCTCCAAGCACTTCTGCAGGACCACGTTAGGTATCTCATCTGGGCCGCATGCCTTGAAAGACGATAACCTCCTTATTTGTCGCATGATTTGCTCTGGGGTGATGAGTGGCGGTGGTGGAAGTGGTTCTGGGTACTCGTGGTTCTCTGGGACCCTGGAAAGCTCGGGCTTCTAGGGGAAGAAGTTCTGTGCCAGAACCTTCGCCTTGCCTTCATTAGTGTTGATTTCCTGCAGGAGGCCGCTCCCCCCTTCGATGGGTACTTTGAGTGTCGGTATGCGTGTCTTGCCTCCATCACCTATGGGCTCCTTGAAGTATTGATTTGCCGTCCACAGATCCTGTTCGGCTGCATTTTCCAGGAAATCCTCCCAGTGCTGGCGCTTGGCTTCTATGATGGCCTCCCCATACTCGTTCCTGGCTTTCCGTAACTCTGTGTGCGAGATGTGATCTGGAAGCGCCCGGAATCTATATGCAAGTCGACTTAGCTTTTTCATCATTGTCTTCTTCTGGCTGAGGCCGTTGTTCCACCATCTCTTAGAAAATGGGCACGGCTTGTTTTCTGGGACCCTGGTGCGGATGACGTCTTGTATAGCTTCTGTAAGGTCCGTTGCGGCTTCTTGGAATTGTTGCCTTGTTGTGAGTGGCTGTGGAGGCGGGATGTCAAGTAGTCGAATGGCCAAGTTCTCTTGGAAGTCCTCCCAGTCCGTGGTCCTGAAGTTGTATGATGTTTTGAAGTTGATACACTCTTGTGGCAGGTCGAAGTAGGTTGCTATCGGGAAGTGGTCAGTCACTGGTGGCCTGATCGAGGGGTCGACCTCGCATCGGATTAGCAGGTCGTAAATCTCTTCTGTGCACCAGAAGTTGTCGGGGCGCGAGTACTTCTTGGTAACTTGATGCTCTAGTGTTGGTTGCCCTTTTGGTAGGGCCATCTTCATGTTGAGGTCTGCAAGCAATTCAATTAGTTTACTTGCGTCGTCTAGGGCTCTTGGCATAAAGAGCCTGTCGTCCGTGTCGTCGTCCCACATTGGATGATGTCTGTTGAAGTCACCGGCCCATATCAGGTGGTCGTCCTCCCTTGACAGAACTTCCGCGCGGTTTGTGCGTAAGAACTCGCAGACCACGTGTAGTGTTCTTGAGTGATTGCAGTCGTTATAGGTGTTGATGATGGTTAGTCGTCCATAGGCACCAGCCATTTGTATTGTGATGGTGTCGTTGGTTCCTGGCATGTTGAGTATCTTCCAAGAACTGGTCGTGAGGTCCGAACTGACCCAGGTCACTGCTCTTGTCATTAGCACCTCGTCCTTGTATCGGTCCACTGGGGCCACTGCGACAAAGCCATTTGGCATCCTGATGTTGCCCAAAATTGTCACGTGCAGCTCCTGCACCAGCACTAGGTCCCAATCCTTCTTCGATACTCTGTTGTACAATTCCAGGTGCGCCTTTGACGATTTGTTGAGGTTGATTTGAAGTATCCGTAGTCTTGTTATCGATGGTTGTGGTTGTTCAGACATTGGGCACAGTTAGAGATTGGGTGCTATCAGGGGGCATTAAGCCGTTACTCAACATGGGGGCTGCTATTGGAGACTCTGTTGACTCTGGATTGGGGAAAGGAGGAGGGGGAGACTTAGCTACGGCAGGGGTCGAGCGCTGGCTCGACCGTGACTCCTTGGTGTACGGTCTTCCACCTGGAGCCGCGTACTCAAAGTTGATCTGTGTTTGCCGATACCTGTTCCTCTGTGTAGCTGGCTGAATCGGATTGACCTGGATCTCTGCCGGGGGAACTCAACGTCCTTGCGTTGGATAAGACGGCGACCACGTCCATGATTCCTTCACTGGCAAGAAAGGTAAGTCGTTTGCTGGATCCCTGGCATTGAGATTTTGTCGAATGGTCGCCACTTTACCTTTTTGAGGTGGAGGCTGGCCTTTAGGCTTCGCTCCGGTCCCAGACATTCTCTGAGTTTGTTATTAGCTGGGTAGATAATAGTATAGCAAGTTTTGAAAGCTGTATGTAGGCCAGAATTTCGTGCTGCAATCGATGAGTCGCCCAAATTTTTCGGGGTCCTAGTCGGGGTGCCACATGGTTCAGGTCCAAGCGTCCTCCAGGGTAATTAATGTTGAGACAGCATACTCTCATAATATATACATTATACATTCAGTCAATAGAGACTGGTTCAGATAGCACAATTCTGGATTGAGGCACAGCTAGTGGTAAGTTACTTGACTTGAGTGGTCCATTACAAACTATTCCATTTTGAGTTTATTTTGTAATTTCATGACATAATGGAGGGGAGAGAAACCTGTGTGATAGCCGAAACCCTGAATGAAAAAATGGATAATCTGAGAACCAGTATCTGTTGTATGGTGCACCAGACTTAGTCACCAGACTCACCACTACTTTTGTACAGCGGCCAATTTGGTTGGCAAATTTTTTTTGAAAAATATATCTCTTCTTTTATGGGTGGAAATTGTTCCTCACACATTCTGTTTGTCCAAAAAGATGCTTTATGTGGTTACTGAGGATTTTTAGATGATGGGTCACCCAATATTAGCTTGGTAAACCCTGACAGGGTCTACCCAAATATAGAAATTGTATACCATATATAGTAATCCGGCCAAATCCCAGCTGTCAAAAAATTTTATCTCCGTCAGTTTTGATGCAAATAAAAATCAGTCTGGTAGTTTTGTTCGCCTTTGCAAAAGAAGCATTTTTACCAGAGGGATAAGAAAAAGGTGAAATTTTGGACCCTTAAATTTCTTTGTACAAAAGTAGTGGTGACTAAGTCTGGTGCACCATAGAAGTAATGAAATCATACTGGGTGTGAAGTAATAAATTTCAGAAATTGATGTTCTTCTTCTCAACAAATACCATAACATTGACAGTGCTTTCCACCCCCACCATTTGCATGTTCACCCCCACCATTTCGTTTGATGATTGCTACTGTGGGAGCTTATGTACAGGACACTATTTTATGTGAAAATTCTATTCATTTTGCGTTTATGTAAATATCTACAACATTCCAGCCAATATGCATACAAATTTAAGCAAGAAAATCAAGCGAGCGAACGAAGAGCAAAAAACAAGAGCAAAAAAGCAAGACTACAACATCAGTACAGATAAGCCCATGGTAGGTAAAACGCAACAAATCACGTCCAATCCCGAACCTCACTCAACGCAATCCCAGCCTCGCCCAACATACCCTGCAGACCGTCCAACTCCCTATTCTCCCCGCTTCCGTTCTCCCTCTCTCCACTTGACTCCATATCTTCTCTCCTCTCCCCGACCTCCTCTTGTCCACACGCGAGCTCCCGACCTCGCGAAGAAGTGCGGGACAGTGAAGGCGGTATATGATCCACAAACGAAAAGGGTGGTAACGCAACCACAGACGACGGAGTGGGAGGCATAGGAAAGGCAGACAAACTCAAATTAGAAAAGGCCGACGAGGAGTGTCCGGTAATCGACAGAGAGTCACCTTGCATCAGATAACCGATCAGAGGCGAGAGAGGCGGCGGAAAAGACGGTGGATCATCGAATTCAAAGTTCGAGTTGTCGGTAACACAGGGAGAGTGCGAGCGCATGTGATCATTATCATCATCATTTTCGAATCCCATGATACGCGGAGACCACGAGTGCGACCTCGACCTTGGTAGAGCAGCGATCGCGCAGATACACTGAATTCCTCATATTTCATCAATAATTTACTAAAAACCATGTGTACTGTCATAAATATACTTGAATGATGTGTATTTCACAGGCATCTTGCTATTTATTTACTATCTATAAAGCTTGAGCAGTGATTTGCTCCAAACCCTTGTTCAAACCCTGCTGGGGTTTCTTACCCTCCAACCCCTGAGATACCCTTACCCTTACCCTCCAAAACCCTTGACCCCAGCCAAGGTCAGGGTCAGCCTGAGTTGACCCTAGGGTTACCCCTGCTCATCACTAACCGTGCCCCAACGATTGGCCTTCCCATGCACGCATGTTTTTGCGGAGGGTCGTTCCTGGGCGTGATGGGGAACGGAGCACATTAGGTGGTGAGTTGTTAGTTGGTGAATTCGTTAGCATGTCACTGTCTAAATTATCAGCGCGCTATTCAAAAAACCAGGAAGAAAGAAAAAAATATTCTTACTTTTCCTTAGCTTAGAAAAGTTGAGTTCATATTGCGAGATCTCTGAACCCAATAAACAAGAAGTTCTGCAACGAATCCCGCAGTCTGCCCCCCACTTATTACTAACACTATTCTTTGACAGGTACAACAAACTCACCTCCCCATCAACCTCCCCTCCACAGGCGTATCTAAAACACTCCTCGGGATATACTTCACCACCGACACCTCGAGTCCTTCAAGATGGCAGATGCCATTGCCTGGTCCACGACCATCTTTGGATATGCCCGTGCCAGCTACGCCCATCAACACGCCGTGTCCTACCACCTGGCCATGCGCGCACGATTTCGCGCGGGCCGGGGCAGTGTGTGGCGGAGTGGTCGGAGCGGAAGGAGGTGGAGTGGAGCATTGCTGCGTGATGTGCTTCGTCATGGATGTAGAAGAGGGGGGTTTGGCCCGCTGTGTCGGAGGTAGACAATGTTGAGAGCACTGCGCATGCGGCGTGCTGCAGCGGGACTTGTGGGGTTGTTGGAGTTGGAAGGGGACCACAAGCAGAGGGTGTGGACGTGTGTTAGGAGGTCTTTAGTCTGTATGTTAACATAGCTGTCCGATGCATTTGGATAACCATGGACGAACGGAGCGGAATATGCTCTTCGGAGTTTGTTTGCCAATGTTGAACAACAACTTCCCAAAGCCGGCAAATTGGTCAATAATGCCCAGTACCGATGGACCACAATGGACTGCAATGGATTTCGATAAGTTTCCAATGACATTCACTGAATGTCAGCGTAATTCATTGAGGTCCATCGGGGTTCATTGCAGTCTATTGGACACCAGATTTTGGTCAATGTCCTACAACAGCACCCATTGTGACTCACCGAGTCTCGATAATTTCCATTGGTACGCAATGGAGCTGAAAATAAATTCAACGTAGTGCAATGAGTAACATTGAAGTCTGGTGTAGGGACCAATGTCGAACAATGAGTATTGATAGAGTCCATCAGACTTTCCAGCTCCGCGCATATTACTGATTTTATGTAAGTATTCTACAAGGGGGTGTCGGGATTTTAAAAAAAGACCTAGGGTCGATTTTTTTGGTAGTGAGCGCTGGGCTGAACCAACCACCCAACGTAATCAGGCACATGTCTACTTTAGGAAATATGACGTCACCGCCGTGCTCCTGGTCCTCCTTTCGACGTTGAAAATGCATCGCAGACCCAATGCATGGGCACCTGTGCATGGCAAACACAAATGAGATGATATTAGAATGGTTTGACATGAAGATGTAAGTAAGTTTCATGTTGAAACCCTAACAGAAAGTAGGTTTACTTATCCACACAGTTTCACATCCCACTGGATCACATTGTTGGCGGTTAGCTCTGCTCAGGATCCACAAAAACAATCCTCTAATCCTCCAATGTCAACAACCTTATGTTTTCATCTTTCACACTGACCTCATGTTTCCTTGTTGACAATTTCCGAGCTTGAAATAGGTGGCCTATGAACCTCGTTGGTGTCAGAATGAGTCACAGCATGAGTGTCCTGTTCTGTGGAATCTCACAGTGAGTTTGCGTGCCCCGGAATATGCTAACAAATCATAATCAAAGGTCTTTGACGGTTGCCACACTAACGAAAATTATCAATGCATGTTATTATTGCCTTATGTAAGCAGTCCCATTGGTGTTTTTGGTGCATCCTGAGGCATTTAGCACACCTTGAGGCTTTCTAGTATCTATTATGTATACTTTATCCATCAGGAAGGCTGTCTATAATGTTTTTGGGCCAAAAATTTTGAGCTTCCAATTTTTTTTTAATGGCCTGACAGCCCAACCAACCAACCGGCCCCCGGTCCGGGATTATGATCCCGACACCCCCTTGGTATTCTATTCATATCGCGTTTATGTAAATATCTACAACATTCCAGCCAATATAGACATACATGCATACAAATCTAAGCAAGAAATCAAGCGAGCGAACGAAGAGAAAAAAACAAGAGCGAAAAAGCAAGACTACGACATCAGTACAGATAAGCCCATGGTAGATGAAAAGCAACAAATCACGTCCGATCCCACTCCTCCAGCCCAGCCCGAACCTCACTCAACGCAATCCCAGCCTCGCCCAACATACCCATCAAACCGTCTGTGATACGGAGTTGAGGATACGCGCAGGCACATCTTACGTAATCGCGTAGTTATATCGTTCGTACATTCTTGATGACCAGTAGACATTAAACCACCATCATCTTGCTACCAAGCTCGCGTGATGAGTCTAAGGTGTCCACTGCTGGTAAGACCAAGGGTGAGCCCCCTTACAATGCTCCCTCCTCCACAGGATACGAGAGCCCTTCCTCTGGGTTAACGAGGGTCTGCCTAGGACTTCTAGGCAACCCTAGGAGACGAGCGCGACCTCAATAGTCGCGTTCTCTCCACTTACTTCTATTCATCGATACTATACTACAACATTCAACTACGGTACTACGAGACTTCACGCGCACGAAGTCCCCGCACGCACTGAGGTTTCACATTGGTGGGGGCACCGCGGACTTCACATTCGATGTTGAAGTCTCGCCTCGGGAGAATTCGGAAGCGGTACTCCGATCACGCCATTGTAAGTGTGACGCGTTACATACCGCCTCCATCGACTCCCTCGTGTACCAACCATTACCTATTCCCTACTCGTTGCTGAGCGCAGTTCTTCCTGCGTTCGCGCGAGGATGTCCAGGAGCGCTGCTACAGCGTTCACGGCTATTCGACTCCCTTCGGCTATCCAGATCCTCCGGATTACCGTAGTCGTTTAGCCCCTGTGAGATCTTTCACCCGACACCTTCACCCGTTCAGTCTACCCCTCTCCCAACCGACTCATTCCGACTTAGCTATGCCACGAGTCTTTCGGATGAAGGATCTCCCTCGATCAGCGTACCAACGAGCCGGCAAGAAATTTGCAATCGATTAAGGGGCCACTCGCGTATTTAAGAGAATGACACAGTAGTTCCGTCTCTCTCAGCTACACTACCATGGCTACCCCATCCCAATCCAATGCCGATCTCGTTGACTCCACCGACAAACCCAAAACTACCAGCCGCTCAACTAGAGCAGCCTCCAAAAACCTTCAGCTTGCGGAAGAGAGCGCTAAAGGTGCTAGCACCTCAGCTGTTCCTCCTGCGAAGGGAAAAGCGACGGCCACGTCACCGATCGTTGAAGAGAGCGCTAAGGGTGCTAGCACCCCAGCGGTTCCTTCCGCGAAAGGTAAATTGGCGG